AAATGCTAGAAGACATGACAGAAAGTTAAGGTTTACCGGTCCCTATGAAAAAGGAAACCAACACTTTGAAGCAAAATATAAACTACTTTTTACATAGCATGGCCAACTGAAAATACACTTGGAAAGCAAAACATGGGTCTGTAATTTGCTAAGTCCCCCCTATTATTATGTTATCCTTCTTTTATTCTTTAAAATAAAAAAAATAAATAAAAAAAGAAAAAGAAAAAAAAAGAAAAATGAGAGAAATGATAAGAGCAAATATATAAACCAATAACCAGAAAAAACAAAAATCCAGTAACCATCATTTATTACTACCAAGTATATTCTATATCATTATCAAGTATACCATACATAGAATTATTGGTGCTATACTTTTATAAGAAGAGAAGTATAGTTGCTTTGTTCACACCACAATTACTACAAACACATGAGTAACCCTCACCCTTTATACTATGTTACTAGGTGATTTTTCAGCTTTGCTGTAACTTCATAGGAACAGTGCTGTACATGTGATCCAGCACTGACAATGACACAATTATACAGCACATGACTGTAGGAGTTTTTTTGGTAATACTGGGGACTGAACCTAGGGACTTGTGCATGCTAGCTAAATGCTGTACCACTGGGTTATATCCCCAGCCCTAAAATCATTTATTAAATTTCTTACTGAAGAAAACTACTTAGTAAATTTAATTTGCTATAATATAAATCCTATGTTGATGAAATAGCACATTTTGCAGGAAACATTTAACATTTTTACCTCAGGAAGGCCAAGCAATTTCCTTTGTCTTCTATCTTCCATGAAATGAGTTAACCACTCCTTTCGATCATCTATCTGTTTTTTGCTAAAGGCCTAGAAGTTAGAAGATGAAAAAGATGTGACTGGTACTAATAGGTTCCAGAACGTTTCTTCTATAAAAAACATCAAAAATCTTATTTCTTAAAATATCTGGTTCTTTTCTGGATATGCTTACTAGAAACATTCTGTTTGATAAAATACATGTAAAAATCTAAATGTTTCAATTGATTAGCTAAAGTAGTGATTTCAAAAATTAGAATGTATTTGCAAAATACAACTCAAACCTACTAGGCTAATCGCAGCATCATCTTCAGGCCCGGAATATTTAAACTGGATACGATGCCTTTTCATGTCTGCAAAGTACTCCTTAGCTTCCTTTGATGTGCTGGTGCCCAAACCTACAAAACCAAGAATACCACGTCAGCCCACACAGCCTTGCATAATGGTATATGAACGCGAGAACTCACACATGGGCTTCATTACAAACCTTTGTAATACTTGACTTTCCATTTTTTATGATTTGGAGTAGAACTCTTCCATTCTTCAAATTCAGGAAGGCTGTAGAATGCCAGTTCTTGCTTATTTTTAGACACCTGTGGTAAAGAACATTGTTGTACCTCTGCACATTGGGGATTTCCCGCCACCACCACACATTATGGGGGTATATTTATATTAAAGATTGTGGAGTGGGCTCTTAGAATACTTTTGTGTCTTATAAATTGCTATACCTTTACAATGGGAGTGATAAATTCCTCCAGAAAACAATGTCGCAGAAGAGAGGGCCAGTTGTGATGGATAAAATTAATCAGCAAGCCTTTGATATGGGAACCATCTTGGTCCTAAAAAATATTTGAAAGTGAAAGCACAAAACCATTGTCAGGAATCTTTTTTTTTTTGTTTTTTTTTTTTCCTGGTACTGGGAATCGAACTCACCACCTTGTGCTTGCCAAGCAGGCGCTGTGCTGCTGAGCTAAATCTCCAGCCCCATTGTTAGGAATCTTAAAGAGCTATGATTGAATTTCACAAATTTTCTAATAGGAGAACTAATCAAACAAACAAAACAAAACAATAATAAATGCTTAATTTAGTTCAACAGTTTAAAATATTTCCTAACAAATCTGACCTGATCGGTCATAATCATTATCTTCCCATAACGAAGAGTCTTCAATGAATCTTCATCTTCATAGTTTTTCTTATACTGAAGACCCACAATCTTAATGATGTTATTAATTTCAGCATTTTCCATGATCTGAAATGAACACATACCAAAAAACAGGTAATGTTTTGTCTATAACTGTGAAAAGAATAAAGCGGAATAATGATATGCATTGGCTGGGGTTTCCTGAACTCTAGTGTTTTGAATTATTAGCCTGTCATTTTTCTTCTTCTTCTTCTTCTCTCTCTCTCTCTTTCTTTCTTTCTTTTCTTTCATGTGTGTGGTTCTGGGGATTGAATACAGTATCTACTGCTGAGCTACAATCCCAGCCCTTTTACAAATTTGAGATAAGGTCTTATTAAATTTTCCAGGCTAGATTTGAACTTGTAATCCTCCTGCCTCAGCCTCCTGAATAGCTGGGATCACAGGAGTATACCACTACACTTGTCACAGTCTGTATTTTAAGAAGACTGAAAGGTCTGTCAAGATAATGCTACAAGTGCACACATTTTAAAAATGTACTTATTTTGTGGTCCTCAGGGTCAAATTCACACATGTGCAACATACCCAATTTCTTAAAATAACAACAACCTGTCTAAGATATATTTCAAATTCCCAGTGAGAAAATGAAATACAAGCATGAAGTCCTACATTACACTATACTTAGATTCTAAACTGAGTTTTAAGTTCTACCTGTTTATGAGAAGCTTCTCGGACATTGAGTATTTTTCCTCTAAGAGGGAAAACCCCGTATTTGTCTCTTCCAACCACACCGAGGCCTGAAACAGCCAAAGTTTTGGCTGAGTCCCCCTCAGTCAGAATAAGTGTACACTCAGTGGAGTTTCGGCTTCCTGAAATAAAAATATATGAGTTAATTTTAGCATGTTTACTTCAACCACAAATATACTAATGCAGATAATACTGTTAATAGCCTTCAGATAAAACACAATTTAGGGATAAAAATGTAGCGAATTAGACACATACTTCAAAGTTCACAGTAAAAAAAAACTACAGTAGTCTTCCCTTATTCATGGCTCTACTTTCCATAGTTTCATGGTCCAAAAATATCAAATGGAAAATTCCAGAAGTAAACAATTCATAAGTTTAAAATTGTGCAATGTTCTGAGTAGTGTGATGAAACCTCACAAAGTCCCACTTGGGACTCTGCTCACTGTGTCCACACTGTGTGTGCTGTCTGTTAGCCATCTAGCAGCTGTCAGGGTTATCAGACTGACTGTATCACCCTAGCGCTTATACTCAAATGACCTTTATGTAGTAGCCAAACACTGTATTACAATGCCTTATCATTTACCTCTCTTACTGCATAATTACTATGAATACCTCACACCATAAGAATGGTAGGTATGGTATAAGATATATGCAGTGTGGTCAAAATATAGTGAATATATAAATTAAAAATTATTACTGTGAAAGACACATTGCCATTAATTCCTTTCAGTATGCTCCCCTACACTTTGAACATGCCTATCCCATCATTCTTGCCACTTTCTGAAGTCTTTGTTCTGGTATTTAGGACCAAAACTGTGAATGCTGCTGCTGAGTGCCATCCAACAGAAAGGAAGCTTCACAAATGTACGAGGGTGCGTCCTCACCCACCTTATTCATCAGGTCTAGCACCACGCTACTTCTGACTCTTCCCCAAAGTGAAAATGATTATAAAAGTTAACCATTTTCAATTGATTCAGGACATTTTTTTTTTTGTCTTTTTTTGAGATAGGGTCTCACTATGCACTTCAGACTAGTCTTGAACTCACTTTGTAGCCCAGGCTGGCCTTGAACTCACAATGATCCTCTTGCCTCAGCTTCCCCAAGTGCTGGGATTACAGGTGTGCGCCACCGCGCCCGGCTGATTCTGGACACTGAAGCAGCTACAATAGCACAACTAAGGACAGTCATGAAAGAGGACTTCCAGAACTTCAGAAAATGAAAGAGCCCAGTGTGGTCATGCATGCCTGTGTTCCTAGCACTTGAGAAGCTGAGGCAGGAAGATTGCCATGAGTTTAAGGCCAGGCTGGGCTATATAGTCAGTTCAAGGTCAGTGAGAACTACAAAATAAGATCCTGTCCCTGCCCCTTGCCAAAAAGAGAAGAAGATAGCAAGAATAATGGGATAAGTATTTTTGAAGCAAGGGGGAGTATTCTGAGGGGTATTAAAGGCAGTATGTCTTTTATAACTTTTCTTGCAATATATTGTTAGAACTGTTCTATTAGTTACTGTTGCTACTCTCTCACTGTGCGTTTATCACAGGTATGCATGTTTAAGAAAAACATAGTATATATAGGGTTGGTACTGGTACTATTCAGTGTCAGGTACCCACCGGGAGTCTTAAGAATATATCCCTTGCAGAAAAGGGAAGAATACTGTATTAGTTTCTCAGATTAATATCTCACAATACTTTCACTACTGCTACATATTCCTTTGATCAGATTATATTGAACATATTTTTTAGGTAATACATCACTCTATATAAATATTCTTACTTGATATACCAAAATAATTATCTCAACATTATTTATAATGACCCCAAATTGGAAGTGGTTTAAAAATTTAACAGAGAATTGATTTTTTAAAACTAAGTTATTATATTGAATATTGAACATCAAGGGAAAATACTATGGTGTGCTTTAATAAAACAGCTGATGCACAAAACTTAGAATTTGGAGACACTGTTAGACACACACCTGCGTCATTGGCATCGTCCAGCTTGGGGATGCCCTTGATCCTGTTATGCTTCACAGCAGAGCACTTCTTGTTTAGTTGGACCTGGGCCTTAAACTTCACCCAGTTCAGTATGCTTTCTACAATACCACAACCAACTGCCTGAAAATGAGATTCATTTTAGAAAAGGAGGATTCTGTTACAAATCTGGCATAGAAATGAAGCCCACTGGAAATAAAATAATTCAAAGATTGAGAAATAGAACAATCATTTCTGACTAAAGAGTGACACAATAATTTCTGGATCTTCTTGCCTTCTCAGGAGTAAGGCAGCTGGTTGCTTTTGGTTCATTCAATAAACATTTACTATTTTCTTATACTGTGCTAGGCACTGAGTACTTGTTAGAGGAACAATAGTTAAAACCAATTAGACAAGGTCCTTATCCTCAGGGAGTTTAAGGTAGTGGAGGTAGAAATAAGAGCAGAAATTACAAGTATGATGAGAGTCATGATTAAATGATAGCAACACGGTGCAGTGTTCGTTGGAACCAGCTTAGCTGGGGAGATGGGTAAACAATAAAGGCTTTTCTGAGGAAATGGAATTCAGACTTTTCCTGAGTGGAAGTCACTGAAAGATTTCAAGAGACTGGAGACAAATGTGTGCGTTAACACAAAAAGGTTGCACAAGACTACCGCAAAGAAAGGGCTGATACAATGCGAAGGTTAAGAACATACTGCAGCAATCCAGGAAAAGAGACACTGGCGGGAGGCTACTGAAGCATTCAAGGAATGATTCTTATGTTAGAGAAAGGGCTCCCACCTCTACTTTTAATACAACCCAGTGGTTGGGTTTTTTTTTTTTTTTTTTTGAGACAGGGTCTCGCTTGCTGTTCAGGCTGGCCTTGAGCTCACTTTGTAACCCAGGCTGGTCTCGAACTTGCAACGATCCTCCTGCCTCAGCCTCCCGAGTGCTGG